GAGCACCGCTCTGCGGCCAATCTTGAGCATATTGGATGTGAACTCATCTACCTGGTCCGTGGGGAATGCTTCACACAAGAGGGCTTTCCAGTCCCACGGCCAACGGGAATGGGTCCCTAGGTGGTTCCATATTCTGTCCCACCAGCGCCATAGCCACACCGCTCTTGGACATTGGAGAAAGATGTGCTCTATTGTCTCTGGGGCTTTCCTGGAGGGGAAGGCATCAGTGCAGAGCCTGCACCAGGGAAGCGCAAGGCCTTTCTGTTCTAAATTCGTTCGAAATATTAGCCATTCGTTTGTCGGCAGACAACGATGTTCGATCTGCCATTGTAGCGAGGCAATTTTAGCAGGTTGGGCCTTGATCATCCTGAACCATTTAATGCTTCTCAGCTGGTTCCTACTGATATTTAAATGGTTCATCCACCACGCCTCCACTCGATCCCGGAGGTTGATTCTCGGCCGCAAGAGTCTGTATGTGGATTTAACTGTGAGGCTGTACAATGTTTTTGTAAATTTCTTGCCCTTTCCTGTTGTTGTTGTCCATGACCATTCTGCAGGGTCTAGAGCAAGTAAGTGGATCGGGGTTTGCAGCAAGGGAGGACCTACGAAACGACCCGTTCTGACCCGTTCCTACCAGACAAAACTCCACCAGAAAGGTGGGAGGAGGTGGCACGGCAACCGCTGTTCGGGAACAGATGGATAACAGACTCACGAGGGCAAACCCTTCATTGCATGGACTCCCCGTGGCGCGGTTGGGTTCGATGGGGGGTAATCAGGATCCGGGACATCTGGGACGAAGAACAAAGCAACTGGATTTCACCGGAGGAGTTAAGAAAAAGACTACGTTACTGTCATCGCCCGGAGGCGGCCCTGGAAACCTTGATCGAACGGATTCCCCTGGCCTGGTGGCGGATCCTCAGAAAAGGCCCATCCCTCCGCGAATCAGACTGGGTAGCATTGACAGAATACCCAAACCAGATAGGCAACATAGTGTCCTGTGCCTTGGATGGGTCACTTAGTGTCAATCTGTTCCGGGTCGGCTGGAACCACACCCTTCAAAAGGTAGAGCCAGACGAAACAATCCTATGCCCGAAAGAAACTGTGTATAGAATCAGAATCCTCCAAGACAAGGAGGAGATGAGAGGCCTTGCTCCCCGGACCAAAGGAAAATGGCGGGAAGTGGGGGTGGGAAGCAACAGATTCGTTGTGTTGGCCGATGAATCAGAAGGGTCAGAAAGGGGAGATTTGGCAATCCAAGGCAGTCAGCCAAATCTACAAATCACCCAGAACCAGAAGGAATCAGACATCCAACCCCCCAATGACCAACACTCAGACATTGGTTCAGGGGACCCCTACAGTAAGGTGCTAGAGCAAGCTGTCGAGGGGAGGGACAACCCGATAGACCTTGCACTAGCCCAGAGCCCCAACCCCTCGCTCTTGTTCATTACAGATTGGATTATGACAGGGTTGCAGTCTTTCTATACAGAGGCCCCAGAGGATTTTTGGCCACAGGCCCATGCGCAGCTTGGAAGAGCCCTGGAGAATAGTACAAGGAGCATCCTGGAACAGGCCCCCCTGAGTAACATAAAGTGGGAAGAGGTCCTCCAGAGACTCTTCAAAATCTCTGCGGCTCATTTCCAACCACCAGCAATGAACCAACATATCCAACCTACAATCATGCCTTCTAATGAACAACTGACGGAAGGCAACCAGCTGGCAACAGAATTGCAACGAGGAAGGAAGGAGGAGGATGCCGAAAGAAGGGATACAAAGATAGCAACAGAACTGCATTCGCTACTGCTAACATGTGAAAACCGTTTCACAGAGAGAGAGAGAGAGAGAGAGAGAGAGAGAGAGAGAGAGAGAGAGAGAGAGAGAGAGAGAGAGAGAAGACCAGGTAAGTCTCCAACCCCGCGGCTGGCCTCACGCTACTTCTGTCGGTTGGATGAGCAAAATCAAATGAATCTTCCACGAGACATGGAAAAATACACTGCCGTGTGTGTGTGTGTGTGTGTGTGTGTGTGTGTGTATGTGTGTGTGTGTGTGTGTGTGTGTGTGTCACAGTGTGTGTGTGTTCGTGTGTGTGTGTGTGTGTGTGTGTGTGTGTGTGTGTGTGTGTGTGTGTTCCGCTAGACGTGTGTGTGTGTGTGTGTGTGTGTGTGTGTGTG